AGCGGGGCGGACTCTGGGGGTCGCGTCCGGGCCGGCGGGAAAGGGCAGGGCCTGGGGCGCGGGACGTTCGCCTCTCGGCTCCTGCTCCCGCGGCCTGGGCGCCGGAACGAGCGCTCTAAAGGCCTCCTTGTCTTCCTCACTTCCTTAGATCGCTGTAGTGCCTTGGAAGTGGAGAAAAAGTTACTCAAGACAGCTTTCCAGCCCGTTCCCAGGCGGTAAGAGACCCAGAGGTTGGGGGCGTGGGGGACTGACAGGCGGGGAAGGAAAGAACGCGGAGCCCCCTGCTCGGCCCTCTGCCCCAGGGGAAACGCGGCTGGGACGCGTTTTTAAAAAGGGAACGACGCTCACCCCTCCGTCGCCCCTGTGGGCCCAGAGGCGGCTTGCCAGGCCAGCCAGGCGTCCCAGGCTAGGGGAGCCCGAGCCGGTGGGCCCACAGGCCCGGAAGCAGGCCGCAGCGCTGGGACGCCCACCTCGTTCCAGCCCAGGCCCCGGGTCCTGAAGCCTCGGGCCCAGCTCGCTCAGACCCCAACACACGCGTCAGTGGGCCCTAATTTTGCACGGCGACACTTCCCTGCCCCGGGTCCCCCCCCCGCAGGGAGGGTCTCCCCGCCCCAGGCAGCCTTCGCACCCCGAATCTCACCTCCTTTGCCGCCACTGTCTCTCTCTTCCAGGCCCCAGAACCACCTGGACGCCGCTCTGGTCCTATCGGCTCTCTCCTCATCCTAGTTCTTAAAACAATTTTTTAACCGTTGTAATAATTGTACAAAAAAAATCACTCTGTATAGTTACGACTTGTAAGCATGTCCGTGTATAAATACCTAAAACAAAACTAAACAACAAAAGAGAAAAAGAAATAAAACCAGTCCTCAGCCCTCCCCAAGTCGCTTCTGTGCCACCGCGCGTTAGCTGCGTCTGTGAGGTCTGTGTGTTCGGTTGATTTTGGGGGTGGAGTTTCAGTGAGAATAAGTGTGTCTGGCTTTTTTTGTATATACAGAGAAATGTACATATGTGTGAACCAAATTGTACAAGAAAGTATCTATTTTTGGCTAAATAAATGAGCTGTTGCCACTTTGACTATATAACCCGCCTGTCTGGCCCCGGCCCCGACGGATCTGTTTGGTGGTTTTGTGTGTGTGTTTGTGTGTGGGGGTGTATGTGTGTTCTCCCCTGATTGTTTGAAGAATCTCCTGAATCAGCGGGAAAAGCCGAGAGGCGAGTCGGACCGCATAGTGAGACGACGACCCCGTAGTGGTTGAGGCGCAGGAGTGGCGGGGCCGGGGCGCCCGCGGTACCGGAGGCGGCCAGAGCAGAACCCGGGCGGCGGAGGACAGGCTGGAGGAGACAGGTGGGAGGCCCCGCAGGCCCCCTACCCGGGGCGGGGATCTGGGTCCTAGCCGCCGACCCACGCGAGCATCCGGGAGTCCTGGAGCCCTCTCCGGCGACACATCAAAGACTTAGAGAAGGGTCTGGACGTGGGGGGGGGGGCGGTTTGGAGGTTCCCCTCACTCCCTTCGCCCCATTCTTCGACAGGCACAAATGAGACTTTCTCAGTCTCACATAGGAGGGGCTGTGCAAGCCCGGCTGCAAGTCTCCGGCCAACTACGCTGGACCACCCCCCCTTCCCTCTTAACAGACGCCAGGGTGTTGGGTGACGGTGGGGGGGTGTGGATAAGAGGGGAGCCGGGGTGTCTTTCACTCTACATGACTGTGTGACTGTGCAGCCCGAGTTGAGAGTAGGGGATCTCGGGTCCTGGCAGCACCTGTGCGTCTTGGCACCCTAGTGGGCTTTCCCAAGCGCCCCGGAAGAGGCAGCCCGCCGAGGTCCCGGCGCGGAGGTGGGGGGCCGGCCCGTCGCACATTTCAAGCCAGGATTCCGGCTCCAGGCGGGCCTGGAGTGGGCGGGTCGGGGGCGGGCGCCGGGAAACTTGGGGCTGGAGCTCCCTCTGCAGGAGGAAAGGGACGCTCGGCGCCTCGCCTCGGTGGCCTCTCCAGCCAGGCCGGGCGCCGCGCCCCCTCCGCCCTCTTCTTCCAGTCCACCAGCCAATCTTGCCCACTTTGACTTGAAGAAGGCAGGGCATGCTTCGGAGAGTGACACCTCGGGGTACGAAGGGGAGGGGAACATGGTTTTTGCGCCTCTCCCCAAGTTAGTAAATGTACGGGTGGCCAGATGCCGGGCGCCTGACCCTCAGAGTGCAGCGTGTGACGGTCTCGCGGGTTCCGGGGGAGGCCACGGAAGAAGATGCGGCGCTTGGGCACCTTCGAGACGCGTCGGGAGCGGCGGGGAGTCCGGCAAGGACTGGTCTACGCGGGCATAGCTACGGGCGCCGCTCCGCTGGGATTTCCTCCTCGAGGCTGGGTGGTCAGGGTGCGGCGGCGCCCCGGGGGGCGCGCGTGGGGGAGGTGCGGGGGCCTTTGTGTCACCCTGCGGACGCGCAGGCTAGTCAAGGGGAGATGGACACGCGGCACAGACGCTCCGCAGCCGGGACCGGAGAGACGGATCCTGGGCTCCCTTCTTGTTAACGGGATTTCTGGGGTTCGGGCCTCTGCCCGGGTCGTGAGCTCAGATGCGGTTTCCCTCCAGCCTTGCTTACAGCGCGTCCTCAGACGCGGAGCCGGCTCAACCCCACGGCGGGAGGACTCCAGCCGCCTGGGTCTTGAACCTGAGACCAGAACCCAGAACCAGGGCCGAGGCTGGCGAGCAGGGTGAATATCTCTGCCAGGGCAGCCTCCCCAGCTCGCGTGGCAAAGACCCGGCTCCCACTGGCCTCCTGTGAAGCCCTGGGCACACAATTAACTCCTCCGTGCCCTTACCTCCTCATCTGCAAAATGGAGTAATGGGCCCCAGCAGGGTAGTGGTGAGGACCAGACAAAACCTGTCCAGGGCTAACACGAGTTAGCCGGGCACAGACAACCCTACGCTTAAAGTTATATCCAGAATCTCAGGCTCCCCCGCCCCCTCCCATTAGCCCTAGATCAGGCCTCTCGCCATCCTCTGCCACCCATAGCTCAGCCCAGGGAGAAAGGGGCAGCAAAGGCGCGGAGGCTGACACCGCCAACGTGACAGTAGGAGGCCTGCGGCCTCTCCGGAGGAGCAGGAAACAGACCTGCACAGAGCCAGACCGCTTGGAGAGCCTGCGCGCAGGTCCCTGGGTTTTCTCCAGTGGAGACCTTGGCGCTCTGTCAGCGTCCCAGCCCTACATTCCAGGGACCACGGTCCTGGGATGAGACCTATTCTGCCCCTGCGGAAAGAGCAGTCTGTTTAGGTACCAGAGGGGAGTTGGCATAGACCTGGCAGGGGCTGCCGTGTGTTTAGATTTTCTCTTATTCCTTAGAACACTTGGGCCTTTGAACTGGCCCCAGGTTGACCCCCACAGTGACCATCATCTAACCCAAACAAAAAAGAATCTCAGCCTTCCAGCTAAGAGGTGAAGAGAGCACAGTCCCCCTTGGCACCTCCTTCATTTCACCAGGAAGCAAGTTCTCATTTCTCCTCCCAGGACCCCCTCCCTGATCACTTCCCTCCCAGGGATCCCAGAAACTGCCTCCACCCCTTATTGTCACTCCCTAAAATCTGAAAGGGAAACGAGGAGGGAGGGAGGGAAGGAGGGAGGGAGAGTAGGGGAGTCTCATCCCTGGTCCTGATTAAGCTTCAATTAGAAATAAAATATGTCAATCACTCCGCCTGGAAGGGGTTCCTGCTGTCGGGGCTGGTTATGCAAAGCACTCCAAGGTGTGTGGGGATAATCAATTAGGTCAGGGGAAGGAAAGTGTGGCACTGCTTCTCTCATTATCTGCATGGAGCTGGAGAGGGGGAGGATCCCGGGGCCAGGGAGCTGGAGGAGAATAAAATTATCTCCCTAAGTGATTGTCCACCTCTGGGACCCACACATTAATGGTTTCCAATTGAATTTCTCTTCGGGGGAATGCAGGGAGGAGGGAGTGGAGTCTAGCCAGAAAGCAACATGGAAGGAACAGAGGGCTAGTGTGCCAGTCCCAGGTGAGGCCTGAGGAAAGGGCAGGGCCCCACCTACTGGGCTGGAGTTCTCTGGGCACCTGGTGGGCAGCCGGGCCCAGGGGCTCCACTGTCTTGGGCCTGCCTGAGTTTTGGAAGGTCAGCTGGAGGGATTGAATGCTTGGGTAGAAATTGAATAGCAGACATCTTCTGTTTTTGTCTTATTAGGAGTTTCTGCTGGGGTCTTGATTTGGGCCTTGTTATTTGTATCCTTCTAGAAATGTCCTCTTCATCCTAAAGTTTCTGGTTGCATATACCCTCCACCCCCATGGAGTATTGCAGGTATGTAGCAGTTGTGTCTGTGGCTGGCTAACACCAGCTGGAGTGGGGGCAAGTCTCACACTTCTCCAGGCCCTCTTTTGACATTTGTGAAATGGAGGGGGTGGGATTAAGTAGAATTATCCAAGCTTACAAATCCAATGTTGTCTAGGATTAGGCATAAAGGAAAGAACTGTGGGTCCAAAGATAATTAAGGGGTTGAAGGAGGCCATAGTATCCCTGGACACTGCCTCCTGGCCAACTGGCTGCTGTCATCTGACCCAGATAGCTACCTTGACACATTACAAATGCCCATCTCTTGTGTGACCAACCTAGCTTTAATGTGACTCCCTTCTGAATAGACCCCAGCCTTTCCAAAGGCAGGCCCCATTGCCTGAATGGAAAACCACCATAAAGGCATCTCTTCCTGAGGTAGGGGCATGGCTGGAAGAAGTCTTCAAGTAGAGCAAACCTGGTGTGGTTGCTCAGGCCTGTAATCCCAGCCTATTGGGAGGCCAAGGCAGGAGGATTGTCTGAGCCAGGAATTCGAGACCAGCCAGGCAACATAGCAAGAGCTCATCTCTACAAAAACAAAAAATTAACTGGGTGTGGTGGTGAATGCCTGTAGCCCCAGCCACTTGGGAGACTGAAGCAGAAGGATCACCTGAGCCCAGGAGGTCGAGGCTCTGGTGAGCTATGATCATGCCACTGTACTCCAGCCTGGGTGACAGAGTGACACCACTCAACTCAAAAAAAGAGAGAGAGAAAGAGAGAAAGAAAGGAAAGAAAGAAAAACAGTAGAGCAGTCGTCCTCAACCAGCCAATTTTGTCTGCATGCTCAGCCCCTGCCCCAGGGACATTTGACAGTGTCTGGAGACATTTTTGATTGTCACAGTAAGGGTAAAGGTGCTACTGGCATCTCTGCGTAGAGGTGAGGGATGCTGCAGAAGGTTCTACAAGGCACAGAACAATCCTCCACCACAGTTATCCAGTCTAAAATGTCACCTGCTGAGGTTGAGAAACCATGGAGTTGAGACAGAAGACATGTCTGAGGAAGAAACCACAGCCAGTGTCTTCTCCCAGAAACCACGCTTTGTTGAAGAAACACTAAAGCAAGGTGCTAAATGGAGTGTTTTTGTTCTTTAAAAACTTTTGGCCCTAGAAGGGGGAAGTTGGGGCAAGAGAGAGCAAACAGGAAACTATACGAGGGAAAAAGAGTAGGTTTCACCTCAGCCTGGTGTCCAGGGCCAGAGCTGCCGAGGGTGGAACATTCCGAGCAAAAGGGAGGGAGTCACCCCGACGAGGACGTGTGTCTGAAAAACTGGGGCCTTTCTCCCTTGGATCTCAATGCCAGGAGTAGGTGATGCGAAGCTTCTCACAGATGAGAGCTTTGGGCACTACTCCGTTGCTGCCAGCCCCTCGGTGCACACAAACGTGTCTATTTACTTTCTTATTTTACGTGTGTGTGTGTATGTGTGTATGTGTGTGTGCGTGTGTGCACGCACCCCATGTCAAGGAGCAGGAAGGAGACAAAGACAGAGTCAGTTTGGACTCTGGGGCCGGCCAGGCCGGGCAGGCTGTGATTTCATGGCTTTTGTGCCGGGTGGTGAGCCCTGCATTCTCTCACTGCACTAGGCCGCTAACAAGTGGGCCTGCAGCCCTCCGGGGCCTTTGGAGTGCACTCATCTGAGAGATTGTGCTTTTCTCAGCCGCTCAGATTTATTTTGCCAAAGTTACAGGGCAATTATGGAAATGCGCCCTTTGAAGCTGGGCTGATTTCTCTTTATTTTCTTCTCCTTGACAAAGCAG